GAATATTTTCAGCCAGCTTGATATGCAAATTAATGAACCTTTGGTTTGTTTAATGACTTTGGAATTAAACAAAAAATTTTTCGAGAGTTATAAACTTTATAAACTTTATTAAACTTTATTAAACTTTATGAATTTTTTTTTTTTTTAATTAACACACTCTTGTTTACAATATACAGGAAGCTTTGATATTTTTTAATTTTTATATAAATATTTCAATCTCGTAAATTGGATCCAGCTTCACGAATTTAAAAAACTGCGGTACATACACAAGACCAAACCGAATCGGCGAAAATGAGGATCTCTCTCCGAGTTTTTCCTGATTCATCCGATTATCCGATTAGTATAAATACGCATACAAAATAATCCTCGGCTTTTGATAGACGAAATGTCGACAAAATTTTTGATGTTAGCGACTCATGTCATTTCAATTACGACAATTGCACACTTCGTGAACAGTATAGTCTCAAAGCCATATATGGTGTGAAGCGATTTTTCTTTTTTTTTTTTTTTTTTAATGGAAACCATCGGCAGTTTTTTTCTTTTACTTAAAGAATCAATGCGAAAACCAGGATGAAATTTTTCACATCCCGCAAGCACAAAATTATTGCGAAGGAAGATATTCAGAGTGGGATACGAAATTAACAACACCCCCAGGATTGTAGGAGAAATTTCATAAAGTTTTTGCGTTGCATTTCCATTGTTACTCGTGAAACATGATTTTAGAACTTATCTTTATTTTATTAGATACATAATAAGTAACATAATAATATACCCATTAAGCAATCTTATAAGATCAATAAACTTCTGCTCGATAGAATTCCTCCGCGCAACAAACATTCTCTTCAGCGCCGGAACATACATCCTACTCTGGAGCATTCTGAATCGCCTTCATCCATCTCAAAATTTCAACGCGAGAGCTGTTAACGCCCTTGCTTTGTCGTTGTTTCCCATAAATTGGTTTTTCAACTTCCTATATTATACGGACTCGGGATCAACTTTTTTTGTACTTCTGGCTTATTTACTGGCTTTGAAACGAAAGTACTGGAAAAGCGCAGTGGTATGGAATTAAACGTAATTTAAATGAACAGCAATGTGAATTACTCTGAACGGAGGTATTGTTTTTTTTTTTAAATAACAATCACAGGCCGCTGGTGTGAGTGTTTTCTTTAGACAAACGAACATAATATGGGTTTTCTTTATCGTAGGAGTATCAATGATCGATGTGTTGTCAGATCATAACAATCGGAATATTCATGGATTATTGCGGCCCATGAAGAAGGATGACGTTACTTTGAGTAATTTTTTACCTTATCGCTATGATTATCGTTGTTTCGCTTTGCGCCAAGAGTGGGATCCTTTAATAAATTTATTACCGCCCTTTAGGTGCAGCGTTTCGCGAAATCTATCGTTTCACCTTGATGGTCATAAGTAACTTGAAACAGCTCGTGCAGATATATTTCCCCTTTGCTTTAGTTATACTAGGATTTGTGATATTCATGAAATGGAATGGTGGAATTGTTCTAGGTAACGGTAAAGTGCATTCGAATAATTGTTGTGATTTTGAGAACTCATGTTTTATGTTCTCAAAATTCAGGTGACAAGTCAAATCATGTGGCAATTTTTCATTTCCCTCAAATATTTTATTTTATTTCGTTCTCTGCGATATTCTCTGCGCCAATTACGCTGAGGTACAATCATATCAAGACACTAATGGATTGGGTGATGCTCAAAAAGATCTCAAGGTACACCTTATTCCGAAACACGTCATTACAAAATTATTTAGCATCTAACTTATTTAATCCACTTGATTAAATCGCCTATTGAAAAACAAAAAAAGAATTATAAAATTAGTCCCGATAATGTTGATGATGGCTTTATTGATCTATCTTTACACGTGAGTTGACTCACATTTCGCTCCGTCGGAACTGTTTGCGTCGTCTAATTTTTCAACTTCAAAAAACGTAGGTATGAGCACCCATTTCTACTTAGTGATAATCGTCACTACACATTCTACATTTGGAAGAATATATATCGTCAGCATGCGGCAGTCAAATACCTATTGATACCTGCATATCTGTTTGCAGGATGGGTCTTGTGGGATTCTATAGGTAAACCATTTATGTTACGACATCTTCCGGGACCTGTGTTAAATGAATGGAATTTAATTCATCTTTGTACAACAATCCAGCGAAAAGACAATCCTTCATCTGGGTATTAATATATACCACGAGCGTATGTCTTACGCTGATCCCTTCTCCACTATTGGAATTTCGATATTTCATAATTCCATATTTTATCTATAGATTGCACATCAGACAGCCAAACTTACAGAGCCTTGTAGTAGAATTTGTGTTTTATACTATTGTAAACTATACTACTTTATACCTATTCTTATGGAAAGGGTTTGATTGGGCGAGCGAGAAAGGAAGGATCCAGAGATTTATGTGGTGAGCTGCTTACCGAAGTATTGAAGGTTTCCAAGTATTATTTGACCAGATGGTTATTAAAAAAAAAATAAAATAAAATAAAGATTGGATAGGAATGTAATAATTGAAAATTTGTGCTTCATACTTTTATTGCTTCCATCTATTTCTGAACCAATTTTTCATAAAAGACAATATTTTTGAAGAATCAATTAATACAGAATATCGTTTTCATGTTGCTTATATTCAGAGAAGAAAGCACAAATTGATAATGAGCGGGTACACGAAGGTCTTTTGGATTCAACTTTAGTTTGATTTAAGAATCTATAAAACCATGAGACTTAAAAAAGAGCTTCCCGTTCATCCGAAAAATGTTGTGAGGAGAGAATGGCAACACGATGAAGTTTTAAGAATCCACGATAGGACCACATCGTGTGATTTCCCAATTACGAGACAGATCCTAGAACATTTGATAGCAAGCGGATTAGAAAGAAGAGAAAATTTTTTCTCGCAGATTCATCCACAGGATGACTAGCGTAGAGTCAACTTAGGTGAACGCTAAAATTCAGTGTATTAGAATAGTTTTATTATCGGGGTACGATTTCGACTGTGCTCGATTTACAAATTTTTTGCGGCATCATCTCCAATTATTGTTTAAATTATTCGCTTTCACAAGATTAAAAGATTAGCCGTCAAAATTGAATACTGCATTTCTACACCATCTTCGTGATTTCATAATTCGGATGTCGGTTCCTCAAGATCTTTTTCGTAGACAATTATTCGAGATACCTGCACTCTAGATCTATTTGGTACATTAGATGGATACCAAAAAAAAAGAAAAAAAAATACGCGATATGCGAAGACAGCATATACTCGCAGACAAAATGGCCAAAGCAGTTCTTGTCACATGTATCACCAGTTATTATTATTATTATTATTCCGGCGATAATTGTATTCTCAGTATGAGCTAAGCATAGCTATGCCATTGCACCAATTAATAGTTTCCGTGGTCTCACGATGGGGTCTTGACGGATGTTCCTTTTGATGAAATTTCTTCACAAGTTGGTGTCGAGATGCTGTTTCGACGTCTTACCCTCTTCCTTGAGACGACTCCATTGCGTTGCACATTGTTGGAAATGGAAAACTTCGAATTGAGCAGAAGAAACGTTTTTTCCCAAGAGCATGAACGTTGCTCCGTGCGGCTCCATGTATGTACCCGCATGCCAACTGGCAAATCTAAGATGAGTTGCCCCTATCTGATCATAGACCTTATTTACAATGCTACCATCTTAAGTATGAAGTATCATTTCTTCCGATTCTATTACCACCACCATTCGGCGTTTCGATTTTGTTTTGTCAACTGGTGCTCATTGGTTCTTGGCGAGATTATTTATGCGCCCCCAAAATGGTTTAGCAGGTGGCTCAATCATATGTATTTTCCGCATATAGAACATACAACATTACGATGGCTCTAAATAGTCGTTGGTCCTGATCGGATTAGCCGATTTGATCATTATTTATATGGATCAAGTTTGTTACAAATCAATTGATAAAAGAAAAAAAAAAAAAAAGGTGCACCATTCAAGGCAATCGCTACAATCGTACTGTATAAAGTTTGTTGTTGACCTGGAAATTTATTTCAGTAATCCTACCGCAATCAATTAATTCATTTTATTTTTAATTTATAGTATAAATGAAAATGTATAACTTAAAAATAGTAAACTTGTAGATTAAAATTGAATTAGTCGGACGCCTAATAAATTTAACTTTTTTTGAATTTAAATATGGTCAAAATAATGACAATATTTTTTTAGTGAATTTTAACAATGCAAAAATGTCACAAAGTCTATAATTATTATGAATTATCTCGGAATTCATAAGAAATCCAATTTTCAAATATCATATCGGAAATGATGACGAGTTCAGTATTTTTTACAGATTACTTAAATATGAAATTTAACTTTGAAAAATGTTCATTCTTAAAACAAATTTAAGATTGAGATGTAATATCAGTGACAATTAACAATGGATTCGATTAATGGCGTCACCTTTTTTGATCCAATTCTTGTCAAATTAAAAAATACTGCAAAAAGATAATATACCAATTTACAAATATAAATTTATAAATAATTTAAGTTTTGATATACTGTACCCTGGACATATAAATATGCAATATATTATTGTATATAGCAATTATTTTTAAAACAATCAAGTTTTGATGATATGCAAAAAAAAAAAAAAAATTAACGCATAATTTTGCGATGCACTTGCCGGCAAAGTCCGGCGTTCATGTGCCCCAAAGAATTTTTAATAACCTTAATAAACATACAAAACTTAGAGTAACTAGTTGGAAAGGAATTTGAAACTATCGAAGAGGTTCAAGGGATTCGGAGTTCACATATACCTGAATTAAATACAAGCGAGAAAATAGATTCATACTCGAGTTTTTACGGAGATTGATTAATTAGTAATTTTAAATTGCATAGTGTAAGTAAATTACATTTTGATCCGTTCATTGCGTCTATTTTTGTTTTTTTGTTTTTTTTTTTAGTCGAAACTCATTCACTCTCGCAACATTCACTCGACATACACATCTGACCCGCTGCACAGAAACACCTTTTTGATGTATTCCTTTTTCCGACTGCTTTCCCTACTCCATCTCCTTTCATTCCGTCCATTATCGTAACTCCCATGATCAGTGTAACTTCTCACGTCCCCATCCACGCTAGTCTGTGTCTCACACTCCGAGTACCCGGTGTCGCTATACACAGATTCATCGGGAACATGACTATCATGGTCGATCTCCGCGGACAAAGAATCTGGTAATAGATGGTTTTCTTCGGGGGTTGGTGAAGAGGCTCGGATCAGATCATAAGCTATGTGAGGTCTTAAACACACGCTATCGACCGACTAAAATCATTAAAGGAAGCACGATATGATTAAGTGTGACCGTGTTAAGTGCGTCGATTATAATTGAGATTACTTACAAAAGGTCCCTTATTTTTCGTTATGCTGCTAGAGTTTCTTCCGTTATTCTGTTCGTCTTCCAGATCGCAGTTGATGCCAGTGTGAACCTGATAGCGATATTCATCCGAGTGCTCTTTCTTAGAGATGACAACCTTAAACGGCAATCGGAAATTGAACCATCCTTTGTCGATCACGTGCGAGAAGTCATCGGGGTTAGGGGCATAATAGAACTTTGACTCACGTTCGTAGGAGCTTAGGTAGATGTTGTGCTGTTATCGACAAGTGAAAAGGATGAGAAATCAGATGGCATAGAAAAGATTGTAAACAAATGCGATCATAAGTATACGAGTGTCATGCAGAAAACACATGGATATATGTGTGAAGACATACGCGCAACCAAATATCGGTGTTGAAAACTACTATCGGCCTGTATGAGGATCTTTCGATTCTCATGCGCCATATGATATCGTAGACACCCGGAGGAACATTGCTTATCGTCATCTCGATCTGTCGTCACGTCATTATAAAGGGAATTGTGTCAGATCGTAAAATGAGCTTATGATGTCGGCGTTTAAAAAAATAAATGTTACTAACCTTGTAAGATCGTTGCTTTTGTCGGATTTGATTGTTGCTACGAGAATGTAGGTCAAAATAAGCGAGGATTTCAAGGAAAAAAAAAAAAAAAAAAAAAAATACTGCACGATCTCAATACGCCACCTTATATCCCTTACGTCATTGTCCTTGTGATCAAAGTTTCGATATTTGTAAAATGACCCGGGCCGACCTTTGAAGATGGCGGTTTTTGTCGAAACGTTTACTGTGGCTGATAATTTTGTCACGGGATGTATCACATTATTATCATGTGAAAACACTCGGTGTCTGCGTCGAGAAGAATTTGCAATAAAAACTTACACAATCTCATGAACACCTTTTTCCAATTAGGTCCCGTTGGCACCTGCTTTCTTGCGGATTTCGATTTCTTCCATTTTCCCTTGGTGTTCACCTGTCTCGGTTCCTCTTGGATGGCGGTCTCTCCGAACTCTCTTAACAATATTTGTTTCCATAAATAGTTATCGTGCGTGTGTGCCCTGAGCTTCCTATTGACCTGTTACGAGAATGACGTCCTCATCAACAACCAGAAGAAGGTGGCATTTCAAAAAAAAAAAAGAAAGAAAGAAAGAAAGAAAGAGAGGGAGGAAAAAGATGCACAAACCATGGACAAGGAGATGATTTCCGTGGGTTCCAAATATTCCATAATATTCATCATAATTTCGTGAGGTACTTTACTGAACCCATCCCTACCCACGACTGATCTCTCGCTATGTGATGACGGTGGTCGTGAGAGCACTGTTAGAGCGCTCAGGTGATTGTACGAATTACGTGGAGTAATTGCGCTAACATTTAAATGTGTATTGGTTGAATTCGACTGGTTAATTGGGCACGGTTGGTGATTACTTGAAATTAATTGTGCATTCAAGCTTTCATCCAAGAATGAATGACGTCTCTTCAAATGATACTGCGTCAACCATGTTTGAAAGTAAACCTTTTTTCTCGATATCACAGTCGGATAATAAATGACTGCTAATCCATCATGTTGTTGCATTGTTGCTTGTTAAAAAGAATTTAGCATATATACTGTATATAGGGGATGTCGGGTAGGCGGGAGCTATAATCTTTTAAACGTTTCGGCCAAATATTACATTTGTAATATGTCACCTTTGCCGAAATACAGTATCGATAAGACCAATTCTTATGGTGCGGTGGTCCTAGGATAGACGAGAAGAGCGGGACACCTCTCTTATGAAGGTTATCTTAGAGTAGTTTGTCAGCAATTAGTGGGAGGTCTAAAAAAAAAGTGAAGGAGAAATTTGGAGCCGAAAGAGTCATAAAAGATTGTTGAAAAAAAAAAAAAAAAATTTTTTTTTTACACTGCCAGATCTTTAGCATATAAATAACGAGTAGGAATCAAATATTACGCATGCCGTGCGACGAACCTTATTACCATAGGTACCAATCAATTCCCGCGATACGAGGTTTCACAGCAACAATAGCGAACATTTTAAATGTACATGTCCTCACGTATTATCTATCGCCATGTATATGTCCATATATATTTTCAAGGTCGATTCCCCCTTTCGATTCATGTCGATATGTCTCACGTTGCTCAAGATGTTGAACGACATTCCACTTCATCTGTGCAGCTGCACATATATTAATAATAAGCACATACGTATTTATCAATTAATGCAAAATTGTAATTAATGCGGGGGAACATATTGCATAATAATAATAGAATGACGCACGTATAATATAATTAAAGAAAAAAAAAATTTTTTTTTTTTCGTTTATTATTATTATTATTATTTATTATTATTATTATTATTATAATTCAAAGATAATCAGTGATTACAAAGTTGACACGTGTGCGACCAAGGAATAGACGACACGGGGATCTAGCAGAGTTTGGAAATTTAAACAACAAATAGTATGTCGAAATAATATTGGGACGTGGGAAAAGTTCGGATCCATGCTCAAAAGAGTAGTGAACGAACGTCTTTCTTTCAAGGTGGTGATGTCCTTGTGCCTAGTGCCAGTGCATGAGCTTGTAAGAAAGAATATATCCGAGAAGAAGGAAAAGGGAAGGAAAAGGGAAAAGGAGAAAGAAAAGGGAAAAAAGAGAAATATATATATACATATATACGAGAAAAAAAAAATAGTACAAACAGAAAATACAATATACAATATACAATATATATATATAATGTATATAGTACATCGTAAAGTCTCATTGGATTGTACAACACTTTTTTCCCCTTGTAAAGTATACAATATATATATATACATAAAAATAGTATTACCAATTAGAATATGCGCAAAAAGCTATATTTAGTAAGGTGAAAAAAAAAAAGAAAAATCTTGTTCGTTATTCTTATATGCACCCATTCTTTGGTTTCCCACAATTTGTTACATAAATTTGAATGATCTCTTTTCCCCCTCCAGAGAAAATTGCATAATTGGTGTCGTTAAAAAATTCAGAGCATACTGATAATGTAATACAAATGGAACACCATGTATGCACGAGTGCTTCCCTTCAAACACCCGATTTGTCACTCACGATCCTTGATCAATTGAGACACGAACGTTCAATGAACCAAATTTTGGAAAAACCCCTATCAAATGAATCTTGAGTACACCGTACAGTACTTCAGAAAATCGGATAACTCGCCTATCAGATATTCGTTTGCTCTTGTGTTTAAAGTTGCGATGGAAGGTTCAACTGTGGACGAATGGTGTTTGGTGTTTGGATAAATGATGCAAACGAAGAAAAAAAAACAATTCCGAAATAAGAAAAATGCATGATATCAGAATAAAGCGATCGTTATATGCAAATTAGGAATACAGCAACAAAATGAGATGCCGTCATGGGGAAGATCTTTTTTTTTTTAAGCACGTGTCACATATTTAGGTTCGTAATATTTCTAATTTTGAAAGGACGAGATTTTACAAGGTGCATCTGTCATGAAAATTCATGCTTATCTAAAATGGTGCGATGCTAATCCGCCCTAAATTCTTAATTACCCTACCTTCATCAATTCAGAATCGGAGGTATGTTGCCTTTTCCATTTTGGAAACGGCAGGAACTATCACGACTGGCATCTTGTCCTTTGGGATCATGAGGATTTCCGACTCTTTGGCTGTTGCTCGATCCTGTGCATTTCGTTCCGAAATCAACAGATGATCATCTTGATCTCGTTCCACCCCAACCTTATTCAGGTACAACCTTCGTCGTCCATCCACGGTGCCGATTCTTTTAGAGGTTCCTCTTGTTCCCGTCCTTAATACTTTTTCCGTCTTAATCACTGGTTGTCCTTCAATCATTTCAAATTCCTCGGGATTCCCTTTACCCCTTCCACGCTTATATTTATGATTGAAAGATTCCTCCTCCACTTCTTCGTCACTTGCGTCTTTCTTCGTAACAATGCGAAGATGGCGGTCCTTTTTCCTATCTCCAAATCCACTTTCTACGTTTACTACCTTTTTGTCCCTTCTGCTCACAACACCATCGCTCCTTCTTCTGCCGTTTACGACATTTCGTTCCCCTCTCCCTTTTTTTTTCTTGTTTTTGCTTTCATAAATTATTTCATCATTATCAACATCATTATCATCATAATCCTTCCTTTTTCTGTTGGTCGTCACTCTCTTACTCACACCCCTGTTCCTTTTTTCCCTACCACCACAGACGACCTCGTCCTCCTCCTCTTCCTCGTCCCCACTATCTAAGATACAAACCTCAAATTCTCTACGTCCAATTTTATCCACCACGCGGTGATTTCCCTCGATGCTTTGTTTAAATTCGAATCCTTGTTCGTCAAGAAGATAGATCAACGTGTCGATATAAACTATTTGTTTCGCTGCTTCTTCCAATGGGAACATTGATTCGCGAATTGTTGAATATCGTTCTCTGGCCTGTTCGCGGATGAATGTGGGAACGATATCTTTTCTGTGAGTTGTTTTTTTGCCAGCAAAGGTGATCGAAACCGCGGGAAAGAAATTTTCCGCCATATGCTGAATAAAGGAGGCACCTTAAGGAAGGGGAAATAGGAAAAGTACGGAAGTGAAAGTTTGGCTGATGAACAGCGAAACTGGTTTTATCATTAATAATATCAAAAGGTATTGGTGAAACGGATGAGGAACAAGAAACGGAGTCACCCTACAAATGTAACCGCTGTACGAGAAAAAAAAAAAAGTACAATCCTAATTCTTATAATTATCTTGCAAGAAATCAACAAGGGTTTCAAGTGATCGTCTTGAGAAAAACCCAATTGCGCAAGTACTGTATTTATCAAGACAGTTTTTTTCCCGTGATTGTGGTGACTCTTGACATGACGTGAAGAAACTTTCATGTAATTCTCGAAATCTCACATTAAATTTCAAAGTGCGAGGCTGTTCTTTAAATTAAATCAGTGACTGATAACTTCTTCACACTAAAATAAAAGAATTTCATCATTACGTAGGAATGGCATTAGGCCAAACGCATTTGATTCTTTTTCCTTAATGAAAGGCTATGACGACATTTTTTCAGAGATGGTAAACGAGCGAATCCTCGTTACATACGTAAATTTCTTGGACTTTTGAAGATGTTACTGGGGAGTGAAAATCAAGATTTATCGGAAACTTGAACCTTTACGGTTTACGGTTTATCCCTATTGCTCGATGCTTCATCTGATCACCTGAACGACTACTTTAAGCCGTTTGACATAAAATATTTTAAATATAATATTTTTAGATTGTACGAGAAAGTTTAACAAGTAAAAAGTTTGAATTATCTAAAACTTTGGTTTTTTTTTTTTTTTTTTTTTTTTTTTTTTTTTTTTTTTTTTTTTTTTTTTTTTTAAATTTTTTTTTTTTTTTTTTTTTTTTTTTTTTTTTTTTTTTTTTTTTTTTTTTTTTTTTTTTTTTTTTTTT